ATCCATGATAACAAGGTGAGTTATAATACCTTATTATGTAATTCCTTTATATAATATGTACAACACAAAAATGTCAATTTGTTAGCTACATGAAAATAAAAACCAAACCCACTGCCATGGAGTCAGATCTGACTCATAGTAACCCCTCCTTGGGTTTCCGAGGCGGTATCACTACACGGAAGTAGATTGCCCAGCCTTCCTTCTTTTGTCAGTTATAAGGAGCGCTGGTGGTGTACTGGTTAAGGTATTTGGCTGCTAACCAAAAGATTGGTGGTGTGAACCCACCAGCCACTCTGCAGAAGAAAGATGAGGCAATCTGTTTCTGTAAAGGTTTGCAGCCTTGGAAACCCAAAGTGGGTTGGTATGAGTCAGAAGCAAATCGATGGCAATGAGTTTGTATCTTTTAAACGGAGAATGAGGAGCCCTGATGACACAAGGCTTAAAAGCACTTGGCTTCTAACTAAAAGGCTGACAGTTCAAACCCATGCAGAGGCTTCTTGGAAGAAAGACCTGGCAATCTGCTCCCATAAAGATGGCAGCCTAGAAAACTAGTTCAGCCGTCCTTGAGTACTGTGCTCCTTTTTAAATAAAAATCATCTATATGAGAGCTAATGGTCAATATGTACTCAAAAGCAAAGATGAGAAGGCAAGGTGGGCAGGGAAACTAGATTACTGGAACCAGAGTAATCAGAATGGAAATACTGTGAAAAATGTAACCAAGGTCACTTAACAAATTGTGTAGAAATTGTTAAATTGGAACCTAACTTGCAGCCTAAACTTTCACTGAAAATGCATTAAAATAGTTTAGTTTAAAAAAAAAAAATCACTATGAGTCCAAATCAACTCAACAGCACATAACAGTAACAACAAATGGAAAATTGGATACTTCGGATATACAACACATAAATCAAATGTTGAGTTATTAAATTCACGTATATTATATGTTTAAATGGTGAATGAGATACTTTTTAACTTGTATGTTTGGATTTAAGGTTTTGAGAATATGGAATAATGAAGATGTAAACATGGAGAAAGTATTTAAAGCTACCGTAAGTCTTTAGCTTTTCAACATATTTATCTAACTTATTGGGGAAATGGAATGATTGGTAATGTAGTATATGTTATTTTGTGTTAGTGTCTCTGGGAAAGTAACCATAAAGATTATAATCAGTTCTTCATTCTAGTTATCTTACAATATATTTTGGTAACATGTCTCAATTCATGAGTTAATGTGTTAGAAAACATAGACTTTATCATCACATGAGATTGAGGTTTTACATAATTCATAGATGATGCATTTACAGTTAGTTCTATGAGTTTAGCTGTTTGAGATATGTCCCTAATGAGAATATCTGAACCTCACTGTGCCCTACTCTAAAATATTTGGAACAGACCCTGCAAATTTCATGTATTGTCCTTTTTAAGAGTGACACATGTGCTGGAAAAAAAAAGAAACATGAGTAGTTATGCCCTTGCTCCTGATGACCTAAAGTACATTCATTAACTTTTAGGTTGATCTTGAAGGTTCCTTCCAGTTCTGAAAAGACTAATTCTTTTAGAAGTGGCTCATAGTAGTACTAATTCAGATACACAGTGGGTACCTGGACCCTCAAAGTCTCTATCAAAGCCTCTAGTCTTGCAAGTCACACAATCCTGAATTTCACGCATTGGAGTTTTTTTGAACCCACATAAAATGTTCATATCTTTCCTTGGCCTTACAGGCATCAGTCTTCATATACCGCCAGAAGTGCTTTTGACTCTACACTAGTAGCTTTTTTTGTACCTCCCACCTCCAGTTTTGGGACATTCGGGTTCTAGCCGAGCTCTAGCATTCATAGTGTTGTAGCAAGTTTTACCACTTTAGGACTTAACTGTCCATGAAACGAGTAGATTAGATGAGATAGTAAGAGTTACTGTTTATCAAAAATCTGTTATGCTTCAGGCATTTTTAGATACTTCATATGCTTTCCTCTCTTGACAAATAAGGAAATTAAGGCTCAGAGAGACTAAATAACTTGGCAATATTGTTTTAATATGGCCTAACTT